ATTGAAGCTGGACATCAAGGAAACTACAAAGAACAGCTTACAAAGAACATGTGAGAAAATTCCTTTAGACTCTTTTTTGTATTGAATTATTTATATCTACATCCTGTTTAGGGAATTAATTGAACATATGTACACTTTGTTGGCATATTTTTTTCCAAGAATTACCTCTTACTGAAGGAAAGCTTCCAGTCAGCACTTGTTTCCTGTCATTCATACTACCATACCAAAAAAAAAAAAAGAATTCAATTGTATATTATACATTTTTAAACATTCTAAGGGGTCCTTTCCTCCTTTTATCCAACATTACAATGTTATTTTTATATTGCAATTGGTAGAAGCAGCAGCAGCAGCAGCTCACTTCTTTAACTACTCCATGGCATGCAAATTGAGGATATGAGTTGAAAGTTGGAAATGCAAATTAAAGAGTTGCTCAAGGATCACAAAGCTGAAATCTCTATCACTTTTATGCCTTGCATTATTTCCTCCATACTCAATACTCATATACCAAAGGTGAACTCAACAGAAAAAAGCGTATCTGAGGGTAGAGTTGGAGATCTGTCAATATGCAGTCTGGATGCCTGAGCCAGATAATACAGATTTGGGTCCAGACAACAATTCTTCTCAGTCTTGCAAGGTAAGTCAGATAAAGGAACAGACATCATGAGTATTCCAGAAATGTAACTTTGAGTATAAAAAAAGAATATTGAAAACCTGCCCATTTTTTTTCTGTCCCATTTTATATTAAATAATATCATGGTGAGTTATTTTGAGTTTCTTCCTTGCACTTCAATTTCTGGACTGTATGACAGGTTTTCTAAGTTCCCTCTTAATGATTCTTTCATACATTTTCCAATGTCAGTTCTAAATATAACAAATAACTGGTCGAAATTTATAGTAACTAAAATATAATACTCCTGGAAAATACAGTATATTAGGAAAGTTCATAGTAGATATTCATTAGTTCTAAAGAAATGCAATATTGTCTAAATGAGTAAAAGAACTAAAATCTAATATGTTCTGGAATATGTTAGGAAAGCTTTTAGTACTACAGCAGTTCACTAAATTATTAATTTACAAGAAACAAAGCTACTGATACAAGTAAATATATGAATTTTGTTTTCTAATTTACATAAGCTATTTATGTATAGCTAAAAGAATCACAGAATTCTTGAAATATGAAAATCAATCTCAGCACTTAAGGTGACTCTGGTGTTCCTTTTAGTCTCAAATGGAAAGTCATCATGTTCTTCCCAAACTGGGCAAAAGCAACACAAAAGGATGGTACTGATTATCAAGCTTACAAATTTTCCAAAAGCATATATACCACATCTTTGTTATAGTGAAAAACTTGGAAGCAGTTCACAATTTAGAGGTAGAATATTTTATATGCAAATACTTTATCAAATTCCAGATACCTCCAGATGGAATAGGAAAACCCATAGCCTGAAGCTCTAGACAGCCATTGCTTATCAGTGGCAGTCAGAAATTTTATGTCAGTCATTGATCAATAAAAGTACATTCAATAAAATGAACAAAACAAAACTATCCCCCAACAATAAGAACTATTAGCAACTATTTGTGGGTGAAAGCTTACACATAATATAGCAAAATTAATTCATCTTGGTTGTTTAACAGATAGTACAAGTAAAAGTTATCAGAGTGCCCTGGAAATTTAAATAAAAGAGGGGTAAGAACATGAGCTGTGGTTTCTATGGTACCCTATCACAGGGACAGTATCAAATTTAACATGGAGTTTCCGTATTTCCTATCCAGGACAAGCTATGGGAAAGCTCTGAATCAAGCTAAAGTGCTCCTAAATTTGGGGACTATGATATAAATATGAAGTTGGTTTAGGCACTAACATTTTATTATTTAAATTATATAATCAGAAAAAGCAGCAATTGCTAGACCTTCTATATTAAAGATGCTTTGTCTTAAAAATTGATCTAGCTTAACTGACTACCAGTGTAAAAATATGAGATAGATGGCTCAGTATTGTTAAACAACCAACTTTCACTGAAAGTCAACCCATTTTTTTCTTGTTAGCACAGAATTATATTACGACCTTAGAAAAGTCACTTTGTTTTGTCACTTCTATGTTGGGTAGGAGAAACAAGTTTTAGTTGCATTCATCTTTTCATAACTGTAAAACAAAGAAATGGGTCCCAGAGAAGAAATTTAATTATAATTTTGTATTTGTGTACAAGCAATGTGAAATTTTCACTAAAGATTTACTAGAACATGAAACTTCCAAACTTTTGAACCTCTTATTATGTATAGTCCAGATGATGAAATTATTGCCTTGGAATTGTAAGAACAATGTACAATTTTTATTTTGCCATATGTTCACCAGATAACTTTGAGAAAGTCATTCTCTTTTCAAGTTTAATTCTGTACTCAAAATGAATCTGAACCAGTCTTAATTGTATAGATGACTAAGGGGCCAGACACTTTTTTAAAAACTACTTAGGATACCAACTAGATGACACATAATCAAAATCAGGACAAAGAATATTGCCATTCCAAACACAGAAGTTATATTACTTTAAAATTGGTGATGGGGCATATTGTCTACATACTGCAGGACAGTATAGCAAAAGGCAACGTGCCCTGCATAGTAAATGGGTAACTATGCCCTATTCTCACAGTTATTCACCAGAATTTACAATTTTTATTGGCAAAATAAAGTGCATGTGAAGGTGAGACAAGCAAAGTAAGTAGATGTTATTAAAATGTACTCATAAATTAAATAAAGAAGTTGCCTGGTCTGCCATATTGGCAATACAATTTCTTTATCCTATGATATAAGACAATGGAAAATCATCTCAATATAAGCAAAATAAATCATAATTGCTTAACTGAGCACAAACAAGGCTTGGCCACCCCAAAGCCAGTAATTATTGGTAAAAGAGATGACAAATATTCAAAGAAGGAAAGTGAGTAGGCTTTCTAACTTCATTCTGTACCATCTTAATTTGAGAAGCAGAAAAGCCCTTGTTTACTTAATATCTTCCCCCATTAGATGTGAGAGAGCACATAAGAGTTAATACAACTCTAACTGCATGTGTCCCATTCTAATAGCCTATACAGAAATAATCCTGAACAAAAAAAGTGGGAACTCAAGATAAAATCTGAACACTAATTCGACACTTAATATTCTTCCTGAAATACTGCATAGACTTGTTTTTCTTAATTAAAAAAGGGCCCAGGGAATATGAAAGAGACCTCTTGGTAGCTCCACAAGTGAATCAGTCAGGAGTTGCAGGACCTTGGACAGCTCTAGGAATAAAAGTAAAGACTCCCTGGAGTTAAGTTGGAATACTGGTGATTTCAAGAGCATATCTATGAAGTGGTTCCCACAACCATCTTCCATGAGGCATTTCAACCTCCCCAGTCAAATTTACAGAGATGTCCTGGCGATCCCGAACCCTTCCCTGCTTATTTCAAGAAACACTAGTTTGCTAAAAATGTTTATTCCTTGTGCTAGATATCCTTCTCTACCTTCCCTCCCCTTCCCTTTGAGGAACAGAGAAAATTAAAGGGATAGGTCTTTGCAAGTAGGCTAGCTCCTACTTTTTGTGTGCTAGCAGTAATAAGCAGACACTTGGAAATATGGAGTCTCCTAATGTTAAGTAACATTCATTTACTTGTAAATCTAGCTTAAGGATTCCTGGCTCTATTGACATCACCACTGTGATAAGTGTAACAGGTTGTCCTGGGCTTATAACCATTTGTTTAGCGTCCATTCAAAGTTACAACAGCATTGAAAAAAGTGATTCACTTTTCAGTCCTTGTACTTATGACCGTTGCAGCATTCCCATAGCCACATGTTCAAAATTGCCACTTGGCAACCAACCGTCTTATTTGCAATAGTTGCAGTGTCTCAGGGTCATGGGATTGCCATTTGCGACCTTCCCAACTGACTTCTGACAAGCAAAGTCAATGAGCACTTAATGACCACACTTTGCTTAGCCAGCAAGGTTCTGTTTCGTATCTGGAAATGGACTCAAGCTCATCTCTAGCAAGAACGTTTTGCTGAAGATTTGGGGAAGATTTTCCATCCTTGGTCATGGATGAGGCTGGAACTTGCCTGAAGAGCAGGTTCATCCATGGCTCATGGATGGCAAGGGCCTTTGCAGACATCCACACTGTTCATCAAGTACATCCATTCCTGGATTGGATGGTCCTATTTATGATCATTCATCTTTCATCATAACTTATATATACATATATAATACAATATCAGTATCTTCTTTTAGTTTATTGACTTAAGTATATATAATATATACTTATAGTAGCTAAGAGCCAGAAAGAGAAAATACTACTTAAGTCAATAAACTAAAAGAAGATACTGAATAATATCAAGTTGGTCAGCAAATAACTGAATTATAATCAAGGAAGGCTTTACATCCATTAGTAGATATACCTTTGAACTTTCATCTACTGTTACAAAACAATCGATTCCGTAAGTTGATGCCAAAATTCTAGAGAATTTCTATGAGCGTATCATTTTTATTCATTGAATTCCACTAATTAAATAAGCATGAGATGCTTGAAGATCGAGTCAAAGATATGGTATTGAAGCAACTGAAGCAATGGATGTAAATTCATAAAGAATATGAATGTTTAAATAAAAATGTGCTAAGTTCCCTTTACTACATCCCCCACTTTTGGCAGTTGAAGTCTAGAAATCTTAAAATTGCCAAGGCTGAAAAACAATGCATTAATATAATTGAAAATAACTATTTAAAACCCATTTATTTCAATACTCTCTTTTAACATTTCTTTTGTTTTAAGAACCAAATATGGATCCCTAAAACTTGTCTAATATTTAAGAACTGGTTTTAGTAGACATGGTAAAACCATAATTGCAAAATTACGAATCTTTTCCTATGCTAAATTTCTTTCATTATTAAACATGGGATAGCTGTAACTAACATTCTAGTAATTACATCGCAAGCAAGAACTACATTGCATTCAAAATGCAGCATAATGCTTACCGTGTAAATGCCAATTCTACAAACAGCAAATGAAAGCTGGATACATTCAGACATTTTCTAAAAAAATTGAAATAAGTATTACCAAGTATTATTATTGTTGGAAAAAGGAAAGGATTCCTCAAAAAAAGCTCACACATATATGTGATATATTCTCCCACCACCTCCAGCAGAACTGGAATCTGCTGTTACTGTTTAAACTTAACAAATCAACAAATTTAATGATGAAATTCAGAAGACTGGCTAGAATAGAGGTTCCAGTTCTCCCTCCTGCAGTAGTATATCTTGAGGACAATGTAAGTATCAATAACCATTTTTTTAAAAAATCAATGGAGTATACGTTTACCAGAATATTACTTTTTACAAGAAACCTCTGAGTGCTTTATTCTGGAAAACTTCATAAAAATATATTATCTACATAATTTTTTGCACAATAAATTTCCTCAAAAAAGAAGTCTTATAAAATGTTATGCCAGTCTTTTAATTTGGCAGTTTCTCATATTTATGTAGCAACAATCCCCAGCCAAAATAGTATGCCATGTGAATGTATTTCACGTTTAATTAATCTTCCCTACCTGCAAATATAAGCAATATTTTCCATCAAATAAGAGGCAGGAAAAAGATAACACAATGAAGTGAGAGTTTCACTTTCAATACCTGTTGTAGATTCCTTTCCAAAATCCTTATGTACTTGACCAAAAGTGCTGCTGAGGAACATGGATTAATCTACCATGTATATTATAAAACTGCAAGCCAGAATTCTTAACATATCTGGCTTATTACATTTGAGGGACAATATTAGTGCCATCTTTTCAATCTTTCTTACTAGACCATTATCCTTGGCTTAGTTGTCTTCAAATTAACTAAAAATTTAAAGCAAGGATACAAACCATGGCCAAATTCCAGATATTGTTTGTGCAGATACAGCAGGGGTTTTGATGGTGGGTTAAGTACTTAACAAAGCACAGCAAGGGCTTTATTTTAAATAATTCTTTTTGCTGATATAAATAATATTGAAAAGGCATGAACTAATTTCCAAATACTTCAAAAAATAGGAGATGAAAAATAAATTTCACAATAAACTAAACTTCCTTTATATAGCCTGGAAATTAATTCCATGATATTGCATTATATTTCATTACATAATGGTGTACTTTAGATGGTTAACAGTACTACTACATGCTAAATATCGGAAGTGTCTGTTAGAAAAAAATTGGAAATGTAATTTAATTTATCTTCATAAAGTAAATTAAATAAGGAATTTGTGATTTTAAATTAATGGACATGTTTGTTTCTTAGATCATCATTCAAGCAAGACCCATCTCTTTCCAGTATGTTAAAGTTAAATAATAAAAATATTTCTCCAGAAATGCCAACAGCCTAACTTTAATTAATTAATATTGTCAATTAAATTAAAATTGTCCAGGGAACAATTCTACAGCAGTATTCTGGTTCTTTATATTTAAAGAGATATATTTTATATGCAAGACTTTAAAACTGAATTTTGAAAAGTAAAAACCTCATGAGCATAAAGCATTTCCTTAATTCAATCTTGATTTGTAATTTGCAATTTAATTTATCTCATTTGAATGTCCTCTATGAAATATTTTTTTAAAAAATATGCATACAATACTAAAGTATTCCCCACATTTTCCAAGTTCAGCACAACAAAATCTAGCACAAGAAGTTCCGATTTATTATTTTAGCAGGGAAGTCAACAAAAAAAATGATTACATAACTTCACTTTCAATTCTTATTCAATACCCAAGTGAATTCACCCTGTTGGCAATTGTTACAAGAATTATGTTTTCCAACTGAAAACAAAATAGGATAAAGGATGGCAACTTCATCAATGGAAAAAAGTGTTACTGAACAACTTTTAAAAAGCTAATAATGCATATATACTTCCCTAGTTTTCTAAGGGAAAAATTAAACAAGTAGACATTTTGTTTTGTTCACCTTGAAAATAAGATTATTAAAGCTTCTGTGAATTAAATTCAACTTCCTGAGCATTTCTTAACTTTTGTTATATACTTTCCTTCTGCTATATTAGATAAAGGTGATGTAAGAGAAGGAGTAAACCTGGGGGCAGCATCAAAACAGGAACGAGTCTACAGTTTCTATGTAGCCACAAAGTGACTAAGTCCAACCCCCCTTGAATTCCATTGACCTTTATCTAAACCAAGAAAGTGCTAACAGTTAGTTGAATAGATTCTTGTTTATAGGTATGATTAGTAATAAATCAGCTTAATTGGAACTTCTGTGTGATCATGATCTTGACAGGTACACCAATAAGGGCTAAAAGCTAAATCATCAGTCATAGAAAATTTTTCAAAGTTTCTTCCATGGTTTTTTTTTCGTATCTCAGAAAAATCAAAGGTACATCACCAATATTCAACTAAGAGTTCCATTTATCAGGTGTCCCTACCTTGAAAACTCTTGATGTGCCAAACTTCAACTCTCATGATTCCTAGCCAGTAATAAGATGGGGATCTCTATTTCTTCACATTCGCCATTCCTCTAGAACAGAGGTCTCATTCTCACGGCCCGCGGGCCAATTGCGGCCTGCAGGACGATATCCTGTGGCCCCCACCGTGATATTAAAGTATAATATTAGTGTATAATATAAATATAAAGTATAATATAAAGTATAATATTATGCGGCCCAGCCTCACCTAGACTCTGCCTCCAGCGGCCCCCAGGTAAATTGTGTTTGAGAGCCCTGCTCTAGAACAAGAGCAATCATACAGGCATTCTAACTGGAGTACCTCTGAGCAGTTTTCTTTGAATTATCCAAAAGTATTTGAAAGAGAAGAAACTAGACATCCACGGTGCTAGTAAGGCTGGACTGCACCTACAAGTACTGGTCTGTCCTGCCTATATAAGGCAATGGGAAAGACATCAGGTAAAAGGGATGAGACAATCCAGCTGGAGCACTTGCTATGCCAACTGTAATTCTGCTACCCTCTTACCAGAGTGATATGAGGAATGCCAGTTCCCTGTTCCATCCTGCATTGGCCAGCTTGTCTTTGTTGGAGAAGAAAAGGTTGGCACCCTGGGGTGAATCCTAGAAATATATGGATGGAAAGGACCTTGAGGTCTTCATGTTTTAACTTTCTACTTCTTGCCTAGAATACAAACACTTTGACAGTGGTGCCATCCTGCTCCTCCTCATCTCTGCTCCATGATACCAAACTGCCATAAGCCCCAGGAGAAGGGGGAGATAATACATGGAGGGAGAAAAGTCAGAAACCGAAACTACACCGAATACTGGCAGAGACATTGGCTAGCTGACCTCAAGGTTACAAGCATGGGAATGGAATGCAGAGCATCACCAAGCCGATAAAGAAACAGGACGGTTACCAAAACAATTTATTTGACTTCCATTGGACACTCAACAGATAATGAGGGGAGGGAAACTGAAAAAGGGAAAAGTAAACGGGCAGATTTCGTGTGCAAACCCCAGACCTGGCTTTACCTTGCTTGTAACCACTTATCTTTAGTAAAGTTATTCCTTTCACTAATAATGCAGTTGAAGGCTCTTCTTTTCTAAATGACTGAGTTTAAGCCCAGACAAATGGTTGTCCATAACACCAGGAGGCAAGATGTCCAAAATGCTCACATCAAACATTTTCTTTTTTTTCAAGTTTGGATCTCCCCCTCAACCCTGAACAGCACAAAATACATTTTTTTTCTGAGCAGGAAATTAAGGCTTCTTGCCTCTTCTTGCCTAGAGGAATGAATGGCACCAGATCTGACCCGACATCATAAAAATCCTGATGTTAAGACTGCAGCTTGCCTTGAGTAAGAGCTTAATCTTCTGTTGGTAAAATTGATATTTTCTTATTTAAACCATGTAGCTGTTTAAGGTGCTATGGTTTTGATTCTTAACAGTGGCCATTTTAGAATGCAACATTGGATTTGAAGTTGGTTTTCCATGTAGAGTATTGGTAGCTTGATAAAAGAAATTTAGCTAGGCACTACTTTTGCTACTTTTTGTTTCCTTGGGCCATTCCCCTCCCTCTTTTTTTCTGTTTTTAAATAGATGTTTAGATAAAATGGAGATTCTGCCTCTAGAGTAATGAACTAGAAACAGTGAAATCACCAATAAATTATCTGCACCATAATGGACCAATTTATGTTTCTGAATAGTAAAATAGAATTATACTTTATGTGATCTATGATTTGAGACATACCATTTACATTTATATCTTTTCCTTAACCTATAAATATAAGAATCCTTCACAGCAAACTCTTTTCCAAGCCTGATGCCTTTTAATGTACTGATCTGCAATCTCCATAATCACCAAACATTGACTAATCCTAGTCAAGCAGCACAGAATAGATAAATATCAAACCCAGGTATTATAAACATCAAACTTTAAAAAGTGCTGAAACATGAGACTAAATTATAGGGTTTTGCCGATATAGATTTAGCTAAGATTTTGTAAGAGGAAAAAGGTCAATAACCAGCTAAGATTTTCAATGCTGGATCATTTCCAAGTTTCATTTACTTACAGTTTACTGCAGTTTTCTGCAAGGTGTTTATATGGTAAGCATGAAAGAGAAAAAAATATTTGCATTCACAAACTGATTCAAGTTAAAAATTCAAGACTACCAGGCCCCTATAGCAAAACTTTCAAACAAGCAGCATGGAGAAATCATACTCTATTGTCATTACGCACTCCAGGTTCTGGAATCCTGTAGTTTACAAGTAAGAGTCAATAAGCAATAAACACAGGGAGCTAGCATGTGACTATTTATTTCTGCAAGTCTCAAACTGAAGTTAACACTTTACAGAACTAAAGCTAGCACATGCAACAACATTAAAGGAGTAGCATTTTAGATTCCAAGGTCCATCTTCAAGACTTCTACTGCATGCTGGTCTGTTCAAAAAAAATAATCTAAAACAAATTTTCCTGTATTAGAGACACAGATTTCCAATTGGATGTTCTACTCACACAGGTCTTTTGGTGTAAGATTCTATAACATAGGCCTGAGGAAAGGCAACTATTGTGTGTGTTTTCTGTTTGCAAACTCTCCTTGCCCTCTAGCATTTC